GGGCAGAGTCCTTTAGGTAAAATAGAAACACGGATGAGTTCCACCACGGAATATGTGAGCGAGCGGCGCTATATTGAGTCTGATTTGCAATCTCACCGAGGCCCATTAGAACAGTTGGTATGATGTTTGCTTGATGACCTAACTGCCCGGGTTTCAATTCTCGGTAGTGGATGCGCACTGCTGATGAGTCCCAAATATAGGACGAAACGGCCGTCCAGTGCTTTCTGCATTCTGTTGAGGTTTCTCCTAAACTCAATGAATTACTTAATTATACTTATCTCAAATCCTCCTAATTTATATCACTCACATTTTTATGTGTGTATGCCTGTATCTAATTTATTTTTGTTAAATCATGAGGTACCATGACAGTTTAGAGATTCATATATCCAATTGTTTTCTAATGGCTTCCATGTCTTGTGATGTATTACTTTTTAATCAGCCTTTTAGTTTGGTCATCAATGACCACTGACAGACCTGGCAGAATGTTCTTAATTTTCCAGATCAAACTTTCCAATTTCAAACTTAATGAATCACTTCTGTACACTATATACAATTATGTTTCACTACCATTCACCCTCTTTGGGGTGGCTTCATGATTACATCTTTCCAGAACTTGGCATCTTGACAGGATTACAAAGAATCGAACGTATTGAAAATAAGGGTTACTTGGAACAACTGGCAAAGCTAAGATAAGCTGTAAAATATCAATAAATGAAGAAATTCAGGCTTTAACCTTTGGTCACCTATATTAGATACGAATTATTGGGCCAGAATAAAAGTTTATTTCATTATGTTTCACTACCTTTCACCATTTTTCAGGCAACTTCATGATTCTACCGTCCCAATTTCTGGTGTTCCTGCAAAGAGACATATTTTGGTGTTGTCCCAAGGGAAGAACATGCCCATCCTATTTGTCCAATACCAGAATGTTTTCATTTGATTGGGAACAGTCTTTATCCAAATTAACATTTGATTTTACAGAGGGTGTATATAATAATGCCCATCAATTCCACGAGATGCAGACTGGCTTTTGGATTGGTTAATGATGGCGCTCAGTTTATTTTCCCACTAACACCTTTTTTTTTTGCTACAAATTGTTGTAAACAATCCATTTTTTGTTGCCTGGCATTATTCTTTTCAAAAGTGCGTCATTTTTGTTGTTTCAGCAAAGAATTTGTTATAGTGGAACACACCTATAGTCAATAGACTCTCCCACCTATAATAAGTAGGAGTGGTAAGAGTCGCTGAGTGGCTCGGTCAGTCAGTCGACTGGCTGATCGGTTGAACTCCCTGCCTTCGGGCGGGGAGGAACCCGAAGGAGGCTACTCCGAAGGAGGCTACGCCGAAGGAGGCTACGCCGAAGGGCGGAGTCTCTTTCGGGGAGGTAAACCGGCCCTGAGCCCGTTTATACGGGTTCAATGGGCATATTTTTGGGGCCGATCCCACAGGCTCGGAAAGCCCACGTTAAAAAGGCCTTGTGCCACATGTCGCCGTCGTTGGGGGGTGACTGAATTTCGTCGGTCAGTCAGTCGACTGGCTGATCGGTTGAACTCCCTGCCTTCGGGCGGGGAGGAACCCGAAGGAGGCTACGCCGAAGGTCGGAATCTCTTTCGGGGAGGTAAACCGACCCTGAACCCGTTTATACGGGTTCAATGGGCATACTTTTGGCCGAGCCCACTGGCTCGGAGATCCCACGTTAAAAAGGCCTTGTGCCATATGACGCCCTCGTGAGGGGGTGACTGAATATCGTCGGTCAGTCAGTCGATGCCGGACGACCGTTAGTCGGATACTAAAGTATCAGCGACCACCACTAGATTTCTCTGCGCCATTACCTATTATATCAAGTTCCTAACGTTTTGTACGTCGAACCTATTTTAGGACCGACTTAGTACAAATACAAGCCTCCACTGTGAAACCACTCCATAACAAAATTGCAGATGAAAATGCAGTCCATTTATTTATTTTGCTAATCATGAAGTACCCGAAGAGTGTAGTGATTCATATATTCAGTTGTTTTCAAATGCCTTCCAAATTTCATTTGAGATGTTCTGAAAAGTAAATAATCAAAAAGCTAATAACTGAGAAATTCCAGTGTTTGGCAACCTGGTTACTTTTTAATTTGGTTACACCAAGACCTTTTCAAAATTCCTTTATATAGTTGACTAATTGGATACTTGTAAAATTTCTGATATTGTGCAAAAAGGATACTAGAACCCTTAATTTTTGCGCCGAAGAAGCGGCCATAATATTGTATTCCAAAGAAACTGCTAAAGGACTGATAGCTAATATGTATTTTTCCTTTGTTGTAGACTGTTGTGGATTCCGAGATGAAATTCGGTCTCCAAAGAATGACAAACGCAAGAATTAAATATAAGTAATTAAATGTATTTACACAATAATACAAAGGGTAATACTTTTAATAAATCCAGGAACGCGGTTAGTAGCAATAATCTTACTTATTATAAAACGCAGATTGTGTGTGTGTCTGTACGTTTATATATTGGATCGGATTTCCTACATCTTTCAACCGATTTCAACAAAACTTCACAGGACTGCGTAAAATTACCTTGTGGTGGTTCTGACAGCGCCAAAAATTGGAAAAACACAATTCTTTTTTGCATGAAATCAATTTGAAAACACTTAAAACACGATTCTGTCGCCAGGATGAAAGGGGGACAACTCATATCGAGTTATACTTATTATAAAACCCAGGCTGTTTGTGTGTGTGTGTGTGTGTGTGTTCGTTTATATATGGGATCGGATTTCCTACATTTTTCAACCGATTTCAACAAAACTTCACTTTTTTTGGCAGGTTGTGTTTCTTATTGTCTTGCACACTTTTTTCTTTATTTTTACATTCAGAATGCTTTAAAAGTTCCATTTGCAAGACAATTGTTTATAATAAAATTCTATTCAATTGATAGACTCATAACGATTAAAAACAATGTTTTTGTTTGAGTTTGACCAATTCGTAAAAAAAAAAACAAAAAAAACTAATTAAGACATGCGTGTCCATCAACCTTAAACAATAATCTTTGTCAATTTTATTTTTCAGTCTTTATGATGGTTGATACTTGATCTATCTCTTACTATTACATCCCCTGGCAACGCCGGGCTCTACTGCTAGTAATATATATATATATAGTCTCGAAGTAGGCCTTCCTTAGAGTCTACATGCTTGTAACTGTGACTTCTACAAGTGATTACCTCACACTATAACTCTACTCCCAACTCAATCACAATCTCTGCGCACTATCTCAATCTCTGTCTATATTCTGCCTGACTGGGTATTTAACGCCAGCAGTCCAAGTAACACTCTGGTCGAGTCCACTTGTATCAAAATGGGGTGGACCCCATAACATAGGCATTTTCAAATGTTTTCAACACTACTGATTGTATGTATTGGGTTGCAAGAAAGATTTATAGCATTTTAAGTAAATTTTAAGGACTAGATATTTGTACACAGATTTACTCAATCAAATATGTCATTATATTCCAATACATTTCACCATCTTTGAGGCGGCTTCACGATTGCATCATCCTAGAACTTGACAGTTTTACAAAGAAATGAAGGTATCAAAAATGTGTTTCTCGGAAGAGGTGAAAGATCAGGCGATTATGGCATAGTAGGACATAAAAATATGCCAGTTTCTGTGGGGTCTGCAAATAGACATGAGATCTGGCATTGTCCAGATGCATGTCGACAACTTTCCAATTGCTCAAATTGTTAATGCTTCTTCCATACGTTATAGCCATTAATCGGCTCAACTGAAAACATTTTGTGACGCACGGTGGCCAATTAATAATTAAGTATAATTCAAGACTTCAATGTTAAGATAAAACGGTATTTAATTACAACCACAAATAAATACTTAACAAGAAAAAAGAAGTAAAAGTCAACTAAAGATAATTAACCATTTCAGTAAATATCTTGTTAGTAGCGCGGCTCAGCTTAACGTCCGGTAAATCCTAAATCAAAACCCAAATCATAGACGCACAATAATTCACACTAATTCGACTGGATAGTTCCACTCTATAGTCCCTCAACAATCACTGCAGTCAGTAGCCTGACACCGCTATTTATACACCTGGCGGAAAGCATATATTCATAAGTCCAGAGTGTCACCATCGAACCTTGGTGTAGGTAGTTACCCATTTTCTTCCTATATAACAAAACACTATTTGATTTGTTTTATACGGCTTATCAACCTTTCGTAAGTAAATTAAAACCAGAAAATATTTTAGTTTTTTTTGTTTTGTTTTTTAGATAATAATGATCTAATGACACGTCCTATTAATTAACCAATAACTGGCGGGGAGAAGCGGCGGAAACGTACCATTCCCAAGAGTATTTCTGCGTAATTAAATATATATAGGAAGGAAGCCTGAAAAGTATTTATTTCATTGGCTGACGTTGACTGACGTATGTCAATAAGAATGGTCGGACACCTAGCCATATCTGAATTTTTCTTTACAATGCCCAGGTGCGTAGCACGACGCTATTAAAGAGGCGGCCTGACTCTTCTGGAGTCAGGTCGGGGTTGCTTTTTGAGTCGATATGATACAAAACCCGAAATCGGCGATGAGGACCGTGCATCCCTGAAGACCACCCTTGCTGCATTTGAAATGTATTATGCAACCATAAAACCTGGTATTAACAGTGACGACAGGGAACAGACCAGTTGGCAACCAGGGAATAGACCTGGGGACGGTTGGAGAGACAATTGGCATCCGGGAAGGGCGGGTAGTGGGGCAGGACGGGTTAGCTACCCAATTTGCATGCTCCACGAGGAGCAACCCCAAAATGCTACGACGTGATCCCGAGAAGTGGGGGAATTGATCCCCAACAGGATGGATTTATTGGAATCGAACAGAAATGCCCAATCGAAGACCACCTTGAATTGTATTATGCAACAATAACGAACCCGACTGGAATTTGTTTTCGGCTCACCGACCTCTAATTCCAAGCCAATATCTATTACACCACCTGCACACCCAAGCTTACGGCACCTGGTATTCCCAAGAGGTCACCCATTTAAGTATTTACCAAGATCGACGTTGCTTAACTTCGGTGATCGTACGGCATTTCAAGTAATTGTTTGGATTCGACATCTGATTTTTTAAGAGGAAGCTCGTAATATTTAATGCGACTTTCGAAGTTTATTCAGATCCCTCACAGCGCACATATGAATTATGTGGACTATCTCTGCAATGTCCTGTGTCGTGCGACGTGAATTATTTTTAATCACCCTTTCGATTTGGCCATCATCAACGACTGCTGGTCTGCCAGAATGCTCTCGGCCTTTAAGATCAAATTGTCTACCTCAAAAGCATTGGCGATTTTATTTAATAAATTTACTCTAGTATTTTAAGATATTTTTGTGCAATTTTGGTAAATATATCTGTTCAAATGAGATGTCAGTGTTATTTCGATTTTTGCGTCATTTAGACGACAATTTATCTATCGCACCCTGTATGTCATAAATTTCAGTAACCCGTGAATAAAGGTCAGGTGTGTAATCTTTTTTTGAAAACACTTGTCCCAACTCTGTAGTTGAATCCGTGAACTGTTTTGGATTTTGAATTCAATATTGACATTGTTGTTGGTAATCAGCTTTTCTTTCTTTCTGTGCTAATTTCCACGTTGTCGAGATCTTGTCCACCACATGGGATCTTTCTTTCGATTTCCCTGCCAAATCTTCACTGCCATCGGCGAAAACAATTTGTTGAAAACTATTAAAAATGTAGTAAAGTAAATAACTTTTTTCATTTCCGATTGACGACAAACTCTACTACTTTTTAGCGCGAAGGTCTTTGCCTTTCTCCATTGTTTTTTTTTTTCTTTTTTTTAATTATAGACATTTAAAATAGATATTCTTTTCGAAGTGAACATAAAACGATGTCTTATTGTTTAGCTGGATGACTGCAACAAATGAAAGGTTTTTAAATCAGTGTTTCATGAACTCTTCGTTAATAGAAACAAATATAGATCGGATATCATTCCCCAGTATATTAATTCGTTTTCTTTTCTCTTTCATATTTTTCTTCTTGATTTTTCTTGTGGCTTGCTAAAATATGATACATTGTAATTTGTGAGATTAACAGTTGAATAAATTGCTTCGTTCCAGAAAAGAAATTGCTTTTCCATTCGCATTTCGGACTAAAACATAGGTAAAATAAATAAAAGACAGCAATAAATCATTATTTTATTACTTACCTATTACATGATAATTACAAATAAGCCGATTCTGAAATGACAGAACAGTTCTCAGTGTAATGCTTTCATCCATTTTCCGTTATTGTTAATTTCTCTTGATGTCAATAAATGGTAGAGTTATTGAATTGCCCGTTTACTGTGTATCGGTGTGGACACACAGGGCGTAGAAGAATGATTCACCTTCGGTTAGTTGGTTTGAGTGTGTCCCGATCTTTCTTTCTTTCTTTCTTTCTTTCTTGTTCGTTTTATTTCAGGCCTTTCATTCTTTCGCCCTTTACCTTTTTCTTTGTATCTGTCTGTATTTCTTCGTTCTTTTTTCTTTCTTTTATTTTCTTCACACCTTTCTTTCTTTTTTCTATTCTAGTTTATTTGCATCACTGTTTTCTTTCTTTTATATTTCTTCACGCCTTTCTTTCTTTCTTTCTTCCTTTCTTTCTTGTCAGTTTTACTTCAGGCCTTTCAGTCGTTCGTTCTTTATCTTTTTCTTTCTGTCTGTCTGACTTTCTTCTTTTTTTCTTTCTATCTTTTTTTTTTTTCTTTCTTTCCTACATTTGCTTCACACCTTTCTTTCTTTCTTTCTTTCTTTCTTTCTTTTTTCTTTCTTTCCTTTATTTGCTTCACACATTTCTTTTCTTTCTTTCTTTCTTTTTTTTCTTTCTTTCTTTCTTTCTTTCTTTTTTCTTTCTTTCCTATATTTGCTTCACACCTTTCTTTCTTTCTTTTCTTTCTTTCTTTCTTTCTTTCCTTTATTTCCTTCATACCTTTCTTTCTTTCTTTATTTCTTTCTTTCTTTTCTTTCTTTTTTTCTTTCTTTCCTTTATTTGCTTCACACCTTTCTTTTCTTTCTTTCTTTTCTTTCTTTCTTTCTTTTTTCTTTCTTTCCTTTATTTGCTTCACACCTTTCTTTCTTTCTTTCTTTTCTTTCTTTCTTTCTTTTTTCTTTCTTTCCTTTATTTGCTTCACACCTTTCTTTCTTTCATTATATTTTTCTTTCCTTTCCTTCTTTCTTTCTTTCTTTCTTTCTTTCTTTCTTTCTTTCTTTGAATAATTCTTTTTTTCTTTTATAACCTTCTCACCTTTCTTTCATTCTTTCTTTCTTTTATTCTTCTATTTTATTCTATTTGCTTCATCCCTTTCTTTCTTTCTTCTTGTCTTTCTTCCTTTCTTTTTTCTTTCTTTCTTTTCTTTCTTTTTTTCTTTCTTTCCTTTATTTGCTTCACACCTTTCTTTCTTTCTTTCTTTTCTTTCTTTCTTTCTTTCTTTTCTTTCTTTCTTTCTTTCTTTTTTCTTTCTTTCCTTTATTTGCTTCACACCTTTCTTTCTTTCATTATATTTTTCTTTCCTTTCCTTCTTTCTTTCTTTCTTTGAATAATTCTTTTTTTACTTTTATTACCTTCTCACCTTTCTTTCATTCTTTCTTTCTTTTATTCTTCTATTTTATTCTATTTACTTCATCCCTTTCTTTCTTTCTTTCTTTCTTCTTGTCTTTCTTCCTTTCTTCTTTTCTTTTTTTCTTTCTTTGATTAATTCTCTTTTCTTGTATTACATTCACACCTTTCTTTCATTCATTCTTTCTTTCTTTCTTTTATTCTATTCTTTTTGCTTCACTCCTTTTTTTCTTTCTTCTCAAATGAACTTAAATTGTTTTAGAATAGATTTAAAATTGTGACAAATTCTCAATATTTAAACACCCTACTGATGAAAACAGACAAACACAAGAAACACTCTGTAAGAAAATTCGAAATCTTTAAATTCAAAATAATTTTTACGTGTATCTATCTAATTCCATTTAGATGTCTTCCGATCCGTTTATATTTTGATCAATTTTGTTATCAAGTAGCCCACATTGTGATAACAGATGATTTACCATGAAAGTTGATATATTTTCAGAAACTAGAATGTTCTGTTACATAAAAATCTATATATAATATTTTCTTATAATATTCTCCTATATACGAAACATAAGGAAAATATTTGATAAAGAAAATCTCTACTTGTGTCTTTATTCATATTGTCGTTAGATTTCGTTTATATCTTAATATTTAAACAAACGCGCTTGCGCAAACACACACCCTCAAGCATAGATAGATAGATAGATAGATAGATAGATAGATAGGATTACATAAACGTTAATTTTAGTGGATACCCATATTTGAATAGACGCTCCGTTTTTTCTTGCAATATAGCCACCTCCAATATTTTAAAAAGAATTTTGAATTTTTTTGTGTTCGCATAGACGTTTCGATTTTTCTAAATACGGTTGTCCATGCAGAACATTATCAGAAAATAAATGCAATAACTATAGTAAATTAAAAGCCAAAGTCCCTAAAATTCAGTAACACATTACATTACGAAGAATGTCTTCCTAATTTTTTAAGATTACTGGGTAGTAAAAAATTATATAGAAAAGTCGCTCACGTTATATTCCTCAAGTAATTTTTACAGATATATTCAGTGCAGAAAAAAATTGCATAAACTTCCGTCTCTCAACAGCTAAAATAAACAGCTATCGCCGAGTTAAAAATGTATTAATGAGATATTTTAAAATTAAAGTAATAATTACTTGTTTCGAATCTTATTAACTAAACTTTAAATCAGTTAATATTTATCAAATAAAATTTCTGAAAATATATTTTATTTTTTAAACAATTTTTAATAAAAAGTTTTATATCGTTTTGACAGAAAACTAAAATGGCGCTAAAATCAAAGATAGCGAGTTGAAAATGAAAAGTGCTTCCAGACAATTTAAATTAGTTTTGAAATACGGCAAAGTATCCTGCATACAGAAAATTTTAAATTCAATCTATTAGCTTGAAATTAAAATTAAAATCGATGCTTCACGAAAGATTTTGTAAAATTCATTTTAAGCATAAGTTATCGCTTTCCTGCGGATATATATATATATATATATATATATATATATATATATATATATATATATATATTACAGCCTGATGATGAAGATATGGATCTTCGAAAGTACTTGCTTAACTTAAAAAAATATACACTAGAAACATCTGACAACAGTTTTATAAATGAGGATCACATTATTCAATGGATTAACAGTATTTTAATGCATACATTATGTTTCTACTAGCGAAGTGATTTCGCCATTAATCGCATTAATATTGCTGATTGATTTTATGTATGATTATTTTTTATGTACATACATACATACATACATATATATATATATATATATATATATATATATATATATATATATATATATATACACAAATGTAAAAGAACGAAGGATTAAATTTCCACGTTCAAAACCTTAACTTAAAACAGGGCTCAATACAAAAGCAGACCAGTAAATATTTATTATACACTGTTAAATTAGAACATGTAAATATCCACTACAAAATTGTACATTTTGTTTCAACGTTACATAAACGTTTCTTCTGGTGGCAAACAATGATGGCAGTAAACATTTTTTATTCAGAATTACAATTTATAAAAATGTGAAGCAGAGTTTTATAAATCGTAATTTTGAAGAATATCGTTTTGTACCCTCAATGTTCTCTCAGTCACTGTGTGTTTATCTAAAGATAAATACGATTAAATTCACCTTCATCCTTGCAGCGCGCCAACAGCTCGCGGGTAGAATCTACGACTGACACCAATTCAGCCGAGTTTCGATCCTAGCAACCGGAGGTATAGCCACACTGATGAGCTATCTCAGAATGAAAAATTTATTTCGGTTGCGTCTCTGGGGAGGAAGCGTGAGATTTAAACAGTGACTATTACTGCTAATAATGCAAGACTCTTCGGTTAAACGAATCGAGTTCTCTCAGTCATAGTCAGTTTATCTAAAAATAAATACGCTTAAATTCACCTTGATCCTTGCCGTGCGCCAACGACTTAGGAGTGGAATCTTCGACTGACGCCAGATCAGCCGGGTTTCGATCCTAGCAAGCGGACGTCTAGCCACACTGATGAGCTGTGATACACCGAAAAAATCTGTCTGTCCATGACAATATATATATATACATATATATATAATTTGAAATAATCATAATTAAGTAATTCATCGAGTCTAGAAAAAATCTCAACAGAATGTAGAAAGCACTGGACAACTTGGGACTCATCAACAGTGCGCATCCACTACCGAGAATTGAAACCCGGAAAGATACAATATCAGGCAAACGTCATACCAACTGTACCAACGGGCCTCGGTGACGAAGAGGTAACGAATTAGACTCGATATAGCGCCGCTCGATCACACGTTCCGTGGTGGAACTCAACCGCGTTTCTCTTTACCGATAGGTGCCTCCACCAGCTCCAACTACTATCCCCAAGATTAAAGCAAGGATATACAGATAGAAATAATTAGGAGGATTTGAGATAATCATAATTAAGTAAGTCATCGAGCCTAGAAGAAAAATCAACAGAAAGCACTGGACGGTCGTTTCGTCCTATATTTGGGACTCATCAGCAGTGCGCATCCATTACCGAGACTTGAAACCCGAACAGTAACGATAGGAGGCAAACGCCATACCAATTGGTCTCGTGACGATATATATATATATATATATATATATATATATATATATATATATATATATATATATATATATATATATATATATATATATATATATATATATATATATATATATATATATATATATATATGTATATATATATGTATATATATATGTATTAAAAAATTTTCAGTTATCTGTTCGGAATAAGACTTGTGTTTTTATGTCCATCGTATTTGTCATATTGAACTGAATTGTATTTTGATGAATATTGTCTTGAAAAAGGTTTAATAAACCGAAACGTCAGACGTCGACATTTCTTTCATTTAACTACATTTAAGGATTTTTGTTTGTTTTTTCAAAATTTCTTCATTCTGTCGGATTTGTATCCATTTACACTTGCTTTTATATATATATATATATATATATATATATATATATATATATATATATATATATATATATGAAGCATTATACATGAAACAGTTGAAATCCAACCTAAACAAAATCAATTATGGCATCTCTACAAATATTCTTAAATGTCTATAATTGGTAACAGAAAGAAGCCATTGGTTGTTATCAACGGCATCCCATACTTCATACTTCTCCAATTCACTCTCACGTGGTCATGTGTGACGTCATGAGATGCGGTGCGATTTTCGCTTCTAGCGTCTTATATGCGCGTGTTTATCGTTGCTTCGAAATCATCTATGTAAACATTGACAGACTATCATCACTGTCTTGTCCGTATATTGCTTAATATGTTGTAATTGACATCTTTGATAATGACTTATGTAAGCCGAAAGCTTAGATTGTATTAAAAAAAATATGGATCAATATTGTGAATTTCTGTCTTCGTTCAACGATAATGTTATTAAACTTATCAGATGTTACGAAAAAAATTTACATAAAATAAATAAACAACACTTGTCTATATTATTTAATGAAACGTGTATGAATATATATATATATATATATATATATATATATATATCCAGCATGAACACACTCTATACCACTGTACACGTACACAAGTTGGCATATATATTTAAGTAAAAGTCTTTCTCTATTATTAATGCAAATTTTTTCTCTGCACGCACAAAATCACTCAAATTTCAAATCTTTAATAATATCCTTGCAAGCGTAAAAAATTATGTAGGGTAACTAATTGAACTGATCTTAACCCCATGACCCTTGACCTTTTATACTTCTTATCTCGACAAACCCTAATCTAATGCAAATCCTGATCAGCCCTGCCAACACTGTTCCTTCTCTCTTCACAGTATACGGTGTATGGGTCGACGGAGGAAATTTACTGAAGATCTGGGGTGATTTTTGTTTTTAATGTCTGTCAATCGAAATGTTGAGTTGGCGTAATGTCGGCCGACGTCCAGATGGGTCCAACGGACTCAGGAGGAATTAAGACCCCCACCCACGCAAGTGGTTAAACGTGACATGTTTCTTCGCACGACCCCTTGTACATAACTAGACCCAGCCTGCACACACCGCCCCTCCCAAAGCACTGTCATACGCGAGTGTCCGGAAGCTCTGGGT